ACAATTATTTATTGACAAGTTCATTCACCAACATTTATTTTATTAAAGCTCATTTTATAGACAAGCTAATTCTGATCAATATAATTAGGGTCAGGCTAGAATTAGTGTTAAAGATAGTATAATTTATAAAAAAAAATTTGATGAAATAAGCTTCGGTAAAATAAACTGTTGGTGAAATAAATTTGGTGAATAATTGTCAATAAAATGTGATGTCTATGAAGTGATTGTCAGTTAAATAATCTGGATCTCTTCTGTTTTTTTAATGAATTCAAGGCCACGAGTATGATTCTGGTAAAAACTATATCTTTGGCTCTACAATGTACTAAAGTATTTTATAATTGGTAAGATAATATATAAATAGATTATTTATTTATCTGTTATATTATATAAATTCTTGATGGTATTGACTATTTTACAGATATAATAATTTTCTAGCAAATATATGATGCTATTAATTTAGGCAAACTTCAAGGAATTATAATAGTTGATTTATTATTTTAAAGTATAGTTTTAAAATTTTAAAAAATATTAAATAGAATAAAAATAAATAAAGAATTTATACCGGTATAAGTTATATAAAACCTTAATTAGACTTGTAATAATTTATTTAATATATATTCAAATAAACTTCGAAATCCTCTTGTAATAAAATTATCATTAATCATACTCTATATATTTTTATCAATCATTTTTTTACATAAAAAATTAGATACAATAATTTATTTGAGTCTTATAACTATGAGATTTTCCTCCAAAGCGTATAAAAGACTGGTAAGAGGGCATCCATGTATAACGTTATGTACCTCTACATAGTAGCTCTTGACCCCCCCTAGACTATATAAAAAAATTTTAAAAATCCATATGTTTATATATATAATTTTACAAAAACTTGAATATATTATGACCCAATGATCCAATCAGGATGATTTTGGTACCATTCGATTCGTCTCTGTAAGACGAATCCAATGGTACCAAAATCATTTCATTTGGTCTACTGGATAATGTTTTATTAACGAAATATTATTGATTTTATAGTAATTTTATAAGAAAACATAATAACCAATAGTATTTCGTTAATAAAACATGATCTAGTAATCCAAATCAAATAAATTTGGTACCATTTGACTTCTCTCCTCGAGAGGATTCGAATGGTACCAAAATCATTCAATTTGGACTACTGGGTCAAATTTTAGACAAATTCTTATAAAAAAATTGTATTATATTTTGGAGGACCCCCTCTAAATATTGGAAAATCGTTATATTTTGGGGACCCTCTCTCCCCCTCAAACATAACGTTATTTATGGATGCCCCCTAATGGTCATAAATTTGAAAATTTTTATGAGATTCTTTGGGCTGTTGGGCTGCTATTGCAAAAAATAAGCAAGCTATTTATATTAAATTATGTAAAATTATAAATTATCTGCTAGCATCTTTAATATTAAAAAAAAAAATAATAAACAAATTATCTGCTATTTCTTATTAAGTTACTTATTTAGGTTAATTCAACCAACAATTATAAAGTATATAATTAAAGTATTTGAAAAACAATATATACACTTATTAGTTTTATTGATTTATTCTCTATATTGATTTGGTTAATAAATAGTCTTTTATTTAAGTCAATTTAGTTAATATTATTTATTAATCAAAATATTTGAAATAATCTATATATCTATTATAAATTTTGTTTAAGAAACTTTTTATACAGCTTTGTTTTGATAGGTATTGAGTTTTTTTAAATGTTTGAGTGAAGATATATTGTCAACTACCAAGTCAAATTTAATAAACTTTTTTTATTTGTATTCTACAGATTCGTAGAATTTAAATAAAAAAAAGTTCATCAAATTTGACCTGGTGGATGATAAGATAACTTTGCTTAAATTTAAGAAAACTACTAAAATAAAGCTGCAGCAAACTTTTTTCTTAAATTTTGAGCAAAGACATCTTATAAACCACTAGGTTAAATTCAATGAACTTTTTTTTATTTAAATTCTACGTATCTGTAGAATACAAATAAAAAAATTTATTAAATTTGACTTGGTGGTTGACGATATATCTTCGTACAAACATTTAAAAAAACTCAAAATACCTATTAAAACAAAGCTGGACTAAAACTTTTCTAAACTTTAAGCAAAGATATCTCAACAACCACCAAGCCAAATTCGATAAACTTTTTTTTATCTGAATTTTACAAACTTACAGAATCCAAATAAAAAAACATTTGTCAAATTTGGCTTGGTAGTTGTTATGATAACTTTATTTAAAATTTGAAAAAAGTTTAGTTTATACTTTATTAATAATTAGTCAAAAACAGTATGCAAATCAATTTTTTTTTTTGCTCTATCAGGATCGATACCAACAATCTATCAAGAATAGTAGTTTTGCCTTGATATCACTTATAATTAAAAATTTTTAGTGTTAGTGTTCGAAAAATGATACACATGTGATCTTTATTTTTTTTTAAATTGTTTCAAACAAAGTATCTTTTATAAAAATAATTTTAATTAAATTAAAAGATAATAAACTACTAAACATTTTCAAGACCAGGTATATAGTAAATTCTAGTCATCTAAAATATCATTCTTGATACATAATTGTTGCAATTATCAATAATAAATAAGAAAATTCTTTTAAATATTTAATACTATATATTGGTTTAATATATTACTTTTAATTTAGATAGATCAAAAATGATATTTTGGATAACCAGTATTATCCCTGCTAATATACTCTTAATGTTCATTAAGTCACAGGTTAGTATTCAGTCATGGGAGTGCTGCACCGAAAATATCAGATCTGCTATTTTTGACATATCAGCTACTTCTTGCATAAGAGGCAGATGTAGAAAAAATAGTATAAGATGGATATGAAATAAATCTTAGTAATGCAGTTAATAGCATAAATGATTAAATGAATATTTATAGCATAAATGCCATATATTTTTATTAGTAGACATTTTATTATATAAATAGGCAAGTTTCACTTCACTTTGTAGACATGCTTGTAAAGAATACTCTTTATTTGATTCTATAAAATTGTATACACGTACTCTTTTATATTGCCAAATCACTAAACCAAACCCTCTCACTAAATTACATATTTACAACTTTAACAAACCACTACACAGTTTTGTGTTACCGTGTTCACATAACTTCCTGTTATTAGTTAAACCATTAACCCTGGTATTACAAGGCTAATACCAGAATTACTATATGTCGTTATAGCCAGATATCTGCATATTTAATACTGATGATCACTAATAAAGATTTTTAGTATATTGTAGTAAAAACATAAAAAGCTCAAACTGCAATAACTCTTGAACTATGCAGCAAACCCACTTAAATAAATTATATTTGCCAGATTTGTTATTGTTTGGAGCATAGTGATAGTAGGTGGAATAATATAATACCAAAATTAATTATTGGTTTTGATATAATATTAATAAAAACATCAAAAATATAACTTTGATTTTCTGTGCATATTGTGGCACAATATGCAATAGCTATGTTTTTGATATTTTTATAATAATAAATCAAAAACAAGAATTGCTCTGTCATGTTAAAGAGTATATTATAACAAATGTAATTTTATTGCATGGGTTTGCTGACTCAAGAGTTATTGCAACTTGAACATTTCTATGTTTTTACTATTAAATTAGACTGATGTCGTACACAACTATCCCAATAGCACCGATAGATTTTCACTGATTGACACCAGTCAGATTTGATCAAAACAATGACTTTTAAAATAACAAACAATTATACTAGACTTAGGTTTTGATCTTATAATCGCATTGAAGCTTTTTTTATACCAAAATTTGGCAAGAAATTTTTTTTACTAATGCACAGTAAGTAGTTTCATATATAAAATTTTGAGTTATTTGCTATTTTTTAAAATTTTTAAAAAACCGCATAATTTTCACGTTACACCTGATCTTAAAATCTAATTGGTCAATTTATGTCGATCAGTGAAAATCTTTCGGTGCTATAAAAAATTTTGATTTTATATGGAATTCACTTAGATTAGAACAGAATAATTATACCGTAGTAGCATTCCCCTTTTTCAATACTCCCCATGCAAAATACCCTGCTGTAAACACGGGATCTCTCTTAATTAAACATTAAATCTCTAGACTGCTTATCATAAATGCAGAGTATGTATATAACCGAAATTTCTCTTTCTTGCAACACAGACCCACTGCTGTATAATATACCCGGATCTTTTTGTTGGGTATTTTGTATTAGACCCATCAGTGCACTACGGTACTAAAAATCCCAGCTCTAACCTTGAAAATCAATTATGCAAAGTTCCGAAAGAAACTGACCAATCCAAATTATAATTTACGCATAATTCTGGGAACGTAAAGCATTAGCCGCATAATTTTGTCCAATCGAATCGCATAATTTGCTTCTTCATTTCGCATAATGCTGAGGTCTCTAGAGCCCCTACTTAATCTATATATTGTCTAACGGACATGATAAAATTTATAATAGAGTTTGGACCCGGTTTCACATATTAAACCGATTTAAACCGGGGTTAACACATGAAGAATAAAACCGGTTCCAAACTCTAATTTATATAATTTTATTATTATTATACTGTATATATATAACCTTATAAAAATTTAGAATTTATTTTTTTCTATTGCAAATCATTAATCTTACATTTATCATAGTTATATTGGCGCTTATAAAGCATTAATGCACATTAATATTATTATTAATGAAAATATCTAGTAATCTATGGTATTGCCTTTGACTAATTATATGGTTTAAAGTAATCATACCATCAGTGAACATATATAGTAAATTTTTGAAAATTACCTATAAAAGGTTATGATAATATAAAGTCATTTTCTATAAGTCAATTGAAAATATACATATAAAGTTTTTGTGTGATGTACTTAAAGAGACGACTATAGAGAGATCTGACCGAAATTCTAAGACGCTCAGAAGTGTTATCACATTTATATTTATTTATTTAAACTAGACAAAAGTATTTACAATAAGGCCATTTCTTCCGGATTAAAAATAGATTGTCCAGGATCGAAAGAATATTGGCTCTCTGGTTCAAAAGTAACACCTATACCTTCCATTAAATCTTTACGTTTTTTAAGAAGTGATTTAACCTCTTCCAAAGTAGGTGTCGACCTTTTCTTTTTTGTTTTTGACAATTTTGATTTATCCTTTTCAGGCTAAGCAAAGAGACAATTAGTAGATGGAAAAAAAGGCGATTTAGTTAAAAATTAAATAATTGATAGCAATAAATATGTACATATCGAGCCAGGTAGGTTTCTTCAATTTGAGTATCAATTTCATCGAGGTAATTAATGTATTGTTGATAACCCGATCTTGCCTTAACTTTTTCCAATAAGATCCTTTTCCTATAATTGTTTCGTTTCACTTGTTCACGTAATCTTGACTGGCATTCACGTAACTTAATACTGATTTCATCATCTTCTCTATCATCCCATTCGACCTGCATAAAAGGTAAATAAGCTAGCTATTCAAAAAATGGAACGAATTATAATAAATATTACACTAACATCTTGATCATCCATAAGATCTAAAGCTCTCAATTCTCTTTTAAGCCGGTCATCCATATCAAGTATTTCTCGATGACCATTCATTTGTGTACCTTCAGGAGAGGTAGGTTCATCATAATTATTACCATTTACTGGTATATTATCATCAGCTACTATATCATCGTATTCTAGAAATGCGGCAAGTACTCTTTCAGCCAAAGGTCCACAAGGTGAACCCGAAAGGTCTTGATCCTGGTTCTTCGAAGGGCCTTTAATTGCATCAGTCTGCCGTGCTTCAAGTTCCTCAGCAGTTTGCGGAACAAGATTTCGTTCTTCTTCGGCCCAAACCTCCGAGTAATGTTTACCAAGTTTAGGTATCTTTTCATCATCATCTAAAGGAAAAACACCCTACGAAAGAAAAGTAAAATAAAAATAAAACCAAAAAAACACAAATAATTTTTAAAGATAATAATGAATACCTTACCTTTGATTCTAGAAAATCAATATCTTCTTCAGTATAATCACGAATATAAGCATCAACATGCTCATAAAAAGTTTTTATTGCTACTTGATCCTTTGTTGATTTTACAACAGGAGCATCTTCTACAGCCACAGTTGTAGTTTCTGTGGTGCTTCGTTTTCTTTTTTTATATGAACCTCTTGCAGCGTTTGTAGAATTCTATTTTTTATAAGATATTTTTATCAATATAAAATTTATAAATATAAGTGTCAATTATTGTTAACCTTATAACAAAAATGTACACACTAGATTTTGAGAATTTCTTTTTGGAGTTGAGTTTCGTGAATTTTTTGGATAAAGTTTTTCAAAGCTTGAAGATTCACTATCATCATCACTACGTTCTCTCTTTTTTTTTTTTCTGTTAACACTTCTAATATATTAAAAAAGAAAATTGAATAAACAAAAATAAATCAAAGAAAACAAAGAAAACAAATTAGTACTAACGTGCTGGTTTTTATTGATTCCTTTCGTTGAGTAGGTATATATTCATCTTGATCTATTTAAGTTATATTTAATAGACTAAAACATCTAATTTTTATAATTCATTTTCGAATAAAAATTACCTGAATCTTCTTTTTTAACTTTAATACTCGAGCCTCTTTTTTTAGAACCTTTCTCTTTTGATGTACTTTTATGAATGCTAGGACTTCCCGTTCTATGAATGCTAGGACTTCCTGTTCTATGGATGCTAGGACTTCCTAGTCTGTGTATACTAGGACTTCCAGTTCTTTTAGGACTTTTGGGTCTCACACCAGTTGATCCACTGAGCTTTCCTACAACACCACCATGAATTACGCTTCCGTTAAAGCCTCCACCCGCCGCACTGTTATTTGGACCGACGTTAGGCAAAGTGCTCAACAGTTGCATGAAACGTTCAAGTTGTACCTTTCTCTCTGCTGCACTATTACTGTTAGTTTTTAAATCTTTTTTTATACTTTGTAAATCGTGTTTGTTATAGGTTTGTGCTGATGCGTTAAATGTAGAATTGTTATTACTACGTCTTCTCGCCGATTTAGAGGGGATATTAATTTTAACGAACGATTTTGGATCAACTGATTTCTGGTCCATTGCTTAAGATATAATATCAAAATACAGTTTAAGAATATTCATTGTCTTGTGCAAAGAGTGAATTCAGGACCAGAAGTTTCTGAAAGATTATTGGCTGATTTAAACTAAGATTATGATTGGTAAATGGACAGGCACTAAAAATAATTTTTTGCACAAGATTTAATCTGGCCTGGATTATGTATCTTTTATATTTTTATTAATACGTATTGTGTAACAGAGAATACGTATGTTGTATAGTGAATAATAAAAAAATATATCTCTTAATCTGTAGGCTTTTCTAGATAAATTTGTCTAAAAAATTGATAATATTTAAAAATTATGTTTATAATATATATAGTACGTATTTAGTTTATATATATATGCTGTATTATACTGCTTTTATAAATTAATAAATAGGATTTAGGCTTTTGGACTACTAGTAGTATATTTAAAAAAATGGAAAAAATCATATATCTAAATAATTTCTATATACAAAATTTGATAAATACTGTAGTTTAGTTTGGCAGAATTTTTTTTAATATTAATAATAAAATTTTTAAAAAAAAAATCTTTTTTACTTGCTATTTTTTGTACCTTTTAATGTGCTATATATAGTATATAGTAGAAATAACATAATTATGTTATTTCCACTTAATCTAGGTTATGTCTGACGACGGGATCATATGTCTGTCATCATTCGAGTGACGACGGGATCATATGTCTGTCGTCATTCGGGTGACAACGGGGGCATATATATATCGTCATTTGAGTGATAATTGGTTTACGAGTTCGTCGTCACACTTAGGTATCCATAATCTATTAAAAAATATGACAACGAATTTGAGTTCATGTCATCATACTTAGATGCCCCACGATCTATAAAAATATGTCAACAATTTTATAATCACGTCGTCACACCTAAGTATATTATAGTCTACACATCGGGGCTATATAGGTTATATTTGTATTTATACTATCAATTATGCTATCGGGTATATGCTATCGAGTCATGCTTTCAAATATATCACACAAATGCTACCCTAGAATGCGGTTAAAATGGATTTGCTCGTGTCCAAGAAAAAAAATCGTTCAGGTTTCATCCTAGTAAAAAAAGTTAACTTGGACGGATAATATTATAGGAGAAAAAGGTTTAATTTTGTTTTAACTTGTTCTTCTATACTTGTTCTATTTTCGTCTAAGTTGTCTAGATAAAAAATAAAATTCTAGGAAAAATATCAAACTCTTTCCTATGGTATACACTATATATATACCTTTGGTATATATATAACATATACTATATATATATATATATCTATGCATACACATAGATAAAAATGTAAGAGTAAAGAAATCTCAAAATTTACCTGGACAACTTGGACGGTTAGTCTAAAACTCTTTCATTCGGTTTGAAATTACCAACAAGTATATTTTTTTCCGTCCTAGCTTACGTCCTAGAAAAAAACTTGGACATACATACTTACATATTACATATAAATTACTAAGAGTCTTTTACCTCAGATGATGCGGAGCATCGAATCTTCGATTCCCTATCTTGCGCCATCTTTTCTAGCTTTTTCTGATGTCTATACTCTCTTCTACGATGTTTCTGTGCGTGAGGATCACAATAACCATAACCAGAAGAGGTAAACTTAACACAATCATGTTCTTTACAAAGAATTTGTGGTGGAAAATTACGGTAAACTTTGCACCCCTTGGGATGATAATACTCCTGATTACAGACTTTTTCAGTCCTAAGAATATAGGAACAACGATAAAATGCCATTCTTTTTGATGTTTATCTTGATTGAGTATATAATATATATCGATCAATATTCTTTAGAATTAATTTTATTTTGAACTTTTTAATTCTGAGTAATATACTTCAGAAAAAACATGAGTATCCAAAGTGAACATAGCATGCCTATTGTACCTGATACACCAACCGTGGATAATCAAAATTTCCAAGAAAATATTAATCACGTGCTAGCAGAATCAGAAGCACCACCTTATCAACCAGAGAGCCCAGAAAACTTGGAGAATTTCAAACCAGAGATAGAGGAAGAAAATAACGGGGCCTTCTATTGCGGAGCAATGGTTCTTCGAGCCTACCACTGGGGCCCCAAAGCTGAGAGTGTGGCTGAATATATGCATAAAATCCGCGATGATAGCATAAGACCAAGGCAATTTCTCGGCACAGATTCTAAAGATGGGATAGAAGCTATTCTTAGTGAATGGCAAGGACATTCATTACACGAAATCATTAATGGTGATGACCCTCTTCGCCCATTCATAGATTTCGATTTATCCCAGGAAACATTAAATAAAATCGATCCAATACCTACACGTAGAGAGGTGAAAGATATACTTGCTCAAGCCTTTAAAGAAGTATGTCTAGAATTATATCCAGATTGGGATAGAAAAACATTAACTATTGCTGGCAGTAGTGATTCAAAAAAGATGTCACTTCATATCTCAACTTTTGGTATGAGACTTAAAAATATAACGGCTTGTGCATTATTTACTAAACTTGTTCGTAAAAAACTCCCAGTATGCTTACAAGCCAAGGAAATTATAGACAATATCGTGAATAAAAGATCATTTTCCTTGCGAATGCTTGGAACACCAAAAGTAATCGAGAAAAAATATGAAAAAACTAGTAAAAAAATTTATGAACATGTACGAATAAAAAGAGCAATATATCCTGAAAATAAAGATGTATTCGATTTTATGCTTCGTCCACCTAATGATGAAGCACCAGTTATAGATAGTTCTCTCTTATCCATTACAGACCTCGTTGCAACAAAAATTTCTAACACATGTACTGAAACTACTGAGGATATTGAAATCGAACTCAATTTGATTGCAAAATTATTAGAAGAATTTGAAATTGGAAGGTATGAACTTACATCTCCACATGAGAATTTTCCTGATACCTTCCCTCTCAAACGCATAGCCCCAGCATTTTGCCCATTATGTTATCGAGAATATGATTACAAAGATCCACATACAAGTGATAATGCATATATTATTCAGAACAAAAAATCATATAGTTTCTATTGCTATCGTGCAAATAATAAAAAAGAACCTGAATCCAAAAATCCTTCAATAAAGTTGACTGTTAAAGAAAAAGCTTCAGAACAAGAAGATAGCCTTCTAGTTTCAGAAAAATTAAACCAATCTAGAATAATAGATCCAAATAATCATTTCGTATGAGGTGACTTAATTGACATGTGTGCATCAGGAGAAAAATATACCCATAATAAAGTTTACGAAGCTATCCAAGCATCAATTGCTTATATCGATAGAGGTAAAAAGTTTTGGATATTTAAAGTTGAAGATGAAGATAAGGATGGCGGTCTCACCTTTGAATTTGTACCCAAACTAGAACTTGCTAATTATGAAATTAATATAGTCGAATTTGGGGGAAAATTAATAAAGTTAAAATCATTAATAGAACAAGCGGTTAAAAAAGGGTTAATTGTTTATCGCAAAATCAACTTTCTTTCATATTCTCCAAATGCAAACCCACCAAAGACACCTTTCTTTAATCTCTTTTTGGGGTTTATAGCTAAACCGGCACCAGAAATTAAAAGAAAAATTATGGATCCAATTCTCTGGCATGTAAAAAATGTAATCTTTGACGAAAATGAAAAGCTCAACAATTATATTTGGAACTGGTAGGCATATTTAATACAAAAACCGGAAAAGAAACCTCATTCAATATGTGTATTAAAGTCTACTCTTCAACAATGTGGAAAAAATATTATCATTGATTTTATTGGTAATAAAGTCTTAGGACCAAAGCTCTATTATGCAACATCCAATCTAGGGAAAATTCATGGAAAATTCAATAGTCTTATTCAAGATAAAAAGTTAGTAGTTATGAATGAGACCAGTATGTCTAGTAAAGAATAGCATAAATTCAATGGTCATCTCAAATCCCTTATAACGGAACCAAAAGTATCTATAGAACGTAAAGGTCTTGAACCTATTCATTTAAAAGATTACTCAGCATTTATAGTTACAAGCAACTAGGATGCCCGCTTAAAATAGATGCAGGAGATGCTTATATAGTTTGTTTTGATGTATCTGCATGATGCAGAGGGAATATACCATATTTTAAACATTTGGCTAAAATACTAGAACATCCTAATACACCAGGAATAGTTATGTCATATCTTTTTAATCGTGATCTTTTAAATTGGAACCCAGAAGATATTTCCAGTACTAAAATGAAAACAGATACAATACTGGAGCATCTTCCCAGCCCCACTCGATTTATAATTGATTGTATTTCGCCATGGTCTGAGGATCAAGTTGAGATACAAAGTCGTACGATATTATATCAAGAGTATCGAGCATGGTGTGAAGCTAATGGTGAGAAACCATTTAGTAATAATATATTAGGTAAAAAATTTATACAGATTAGCATCGAAAATAAACGGGCAGGTAGTAAAAAGAGAGAGTGGCAGTATATCCTCGATCGATCCAAAATCGTAGCTAAGTTACGTGAATCTGTAGAGGACATCGAGGAATTTTCCAACATACCTCAAGCCGAGACATCCACCAACACAACCACAGATATCCCTGTATTTGATGTGCCAGAAGTAAAAACTTCTGAACCAGAAAAAAAGATAACTAAATCATTAGCCACTAATAGCATCGAAAAAGGTAAAAATTCATCATCCGCTCCTGTCACTAAAATGACTCAGAATCTCTTCAATTCTATAACAAATCAACCGAAATATTCAGTTGCTTCGTCATCCAAGTCTACCAATATATCTCTACCTTCTGAGATCAAGCATGTAGAACCTGTGGACAATAGACCTAAATCACCAGAAATTATCGAGAAATCAGAGATTATCGAATCTGTGGAAAATAATTCCAAGATATCTCCTGTCTTATTTACGAATGACAAACCAAAAACTAGTAATAAAGTATCTCTCTAGCAGATGTCATATCTGCTGGGATATCAAACCAGAGAGCAACGAGAGGTACATCTTCGTGAGAAAGCTATTGAACTTGGTGAAGATCCCGACAAATTCGTTACTATTACTGAAAAAGATAAGCTTGATTCTGTCGCATTCTGTGACAGAATGCAGACTAATGCGAGAATGTGTGGTTTTGCAAAGGAGGCCGAAGAAGACCCCAGTGAATATATGGATATGATAGTGCGAGAAAGACTAATAAGCGAAGAAATAATCTGTTGTTCTCTTGAGGAAGATAGAATCACCTCATCATGGCTAGATACTGATGAGGAATGGGAAAAAACAGTGAGCATACTCCAGGCAAATGGTATGCTATGGTAAGTCTGCGAAGCAGAAGATGCTTTGCATCCTATATATATATAAAATAAGGAGCAAATAGGTGAATTTTGCAGGTAGGAGCTTCGATATAGAGGGATTTTTTGCTCCTACAAACTAGATAATATAAAAATTTTTAATAAAAATATTACAAAAACAATATGTTCTCATGCTCTATATATACCGTAAACAAAATGAGCGATCAAGAATTAGAAACTCCAGAAAAAGTATTTAACCTATTAACTGACCGGATAATAAATCTGAATGGACCAACATTCCGTAAATTAATCCGCAATGGATATAGACATGTTAGTGATTTATCGAATTACTCAGAAATATCTAAACATATTGATTATAGTTGTTCTGATCACACAGCCTTCTTATTTAATATATGGAAGCTAGCAGTAATACCACCACCCGAAATATTACAAAACAGACCGAATATATATCGCAAATATCTTATAACTATTGAATCGTGCCAGAATTTATTTGATAGATGTACTAAATAATAGAAAAATGAATAATAAACCTTAATATAACCTGGACCTCTATCTCTAGAGCTATATTTTTTTCATTATATCCCATATAATAGTAAATTTCAAATCGACGTAGCAGTTACTCTATAGGTAGACATAAACTCTCTTTTATTATAGAATAATGGCACTTACGTGCCTCTTAGTATAGAAAGAAAAAGCATAATTAATTTTGATTTGAAAAAATATTTTATATAGTGTATATAACCTACTCAACCTACTATAGCATTAGATAATGTCGGCTATTGCTACAGAAATTGTTGAAAAATACAAACTCACTCTGAAGATAGATATATCCAAGCTTAGTCAATATACCTCTGAGTTTCTTGAGAATCTTACTGATGATAGAAAGCGAAATCAAGCTCGATGACGTCTTTGGGATGGTTTTAAATTTAGCAGTGAACAGGTAGGTGTATTGATACCTAATCAGAGAAGTGGGAAAAATAAAACTATAAATTTGGTTGAAGGTAATTGTAGAATAGCAATAACCAAGCCTCCAAAAAGTTTAGAAGAAGAGATCGTTAGAGAGAAAGCAAAACAAATCTTGCAAAATAGATATGAGTTTAGTGAAGATCAAGTAAATGCCTTATTCACAATCCCAAAAAACGAAAGTAGATACAGTGTAACTACTTCAGATAAAAACATAAATATTGTAATCGCCAATCAACTCTCTAAAAGAATGGAGGAAAAAACAATTGGGGATATGGCACAACGGATTTTACGGAATAAACTTAGTATTAGAGATATAAGAGCTGAAGCTTATGCCTTAGCCCTATCAGCAAAAAATGCTAATGCTGGCTTATTACGTCTCACTCATCTTCGTAGAGAATTAAGAAACCTTAATGCATCACTTGAGATAATTGAGGTTACAAAATTTCCAGATATTACAGAAGATGCCAATAAAATCCAGAGTATCAATCGGAAAAAAGCTGAAGCTAAACGTATCGATTATCCAGATGAATTTATATTAGAATCGGTTAAGAAAAGATTAGATGCGTATGATATTAAAACTTTATCTAAATATCAGGCTCTTGCAGATATCATGGTGATGCTTTGTATCCGTCCTGCTGAACTTAGAACTTTACGTATTACAGATGCTAAAGTAACAGGATATGCGAAGAATTGGGGTTAATCAGATATACCTAGAAAATTTAGATCTATGGAAAAGAACCAAGAACGTGCCAGAGAATTACTCACTTGGATACAGCGC